GCCGGGTCCCAATTCCCGGCCCACGACTACTGTCCAAGACACCGCAGATCGTGGGAGGCGGTAGGGTTTCCACTTACCGCAGAGTGGAGGGAGCTTCTGATGCCATCAGAGGCGAAAACCTCAAAATTATTCTTCTTTGCGTAAGCGATCCTACAAAAAAGCTTGCCGCCGCGCCGTAGATGCGCACCACCTGTATCATACCGAGGTCAACAGCTAACGCCGCTTCAGTTCAGGTGCGAAGGTCGGGCAATTGCCCTCCGAGACTTGCAGGTCGAAGCTCCGGTCGGCCACCCAGACCAAGAGCAGGACTGGCAAACAAGGACATTCGAGTCCTTTCCTGGAACGCCGGGCACTTGGGTCAGCAGCAGTGGGCAGAGACTAAGTCCTGGCTGCAGACAGACGCCAAGCAGGTCTGCGACATTTTAGTCCTGCAGGAAACTCATTGGCACGCCTCTGCCGAGTTTTCCACGGCTGGCTGGTACTGCATCTCGTCAGCTTCCGCGTACGTTCCAACTACTGAGGACAAAACCCTCGGGGGCTCGGCCCAGCAAGCACCCACTGCACCCGCTGGGGCTCGGCCCAACCAACCCCGCCCCAAGCGCAAAAGCCTGCGCGGCTCGAAGGGCCCTTCCACCACTAAGGCAGATGGGGTGATGGTTCTTCTTTCGCCGGAAGTTCCCTCTAACACCATCCGTTGGAAGGAACATGTGACGGGCCGAGTGCTTGAGGTCCGCTTTGACTGGCACGGGGCCCGGACGACTGTCTTGGCTGTATATCAGCATGTCTGGTCCCCAGCCAAAACTGTACAGGCCAACAAGCAGGACAGAGCAGCTTGCCCGGTGTGTCAAGCAGGTCCCAGCCCGAGATACGCTAGTCATCGCAGGAGACTTCAACTCGTCTGTTTCTCCCATCCCTCATTTGGTTGGCCCTCGCACGCTAACCCCCCAGGAGGCTAGGCCTGATGAAGCGGAGTTCACAAATTTTGTGAGAACTCATCACCTGGCTGTTTTGAACACATGGCAGGTGCGCTCCGGAGGCCCGGCCAAACAAGCAGCACCCCTCGCCAACTTTCCCCTGGGCAGCTGGAAGACGGGCGGACACTTGCCGCTCCTGGCCAGAATAAAGCCTGTTCGTCACTGGCAACTTCCTGGCCCCCGAGTCAAACCTCTCAAGCGTGACTCGGAAGCATTACAACAGGCTGTCAGGCAGGGTCTTCCCATCATTATGGACATGCAACGGTGGGTACGGGATAACATTCGCCATGGCATGACACCACCGGAGTGGGACGCGCTGCTGTCTAAGGCCTCAGCACTTTTTCCCGCAGCAACTCAAAGCTCCCACAGCTGACTCTGAGGATACCGTGATAGCTCGACGAATGTGGCGAGCCAGGCGCCTGTCTGCCATCCACAGCCAGGCTACCGACCCAGCCGCGACTGCACTAATCCTCCAGCATCAAAAGGCCGTCAAACAAGCCAAGAAGGCCAAAGCTGATGCATTTCTTGCTGAGGTAGACGTGGCTATTAATGCTGGGGATCAGTTCGTTGCTTTTAAGGTTTTGAAGCAGTTACGCCCTTGGCAGCCCTCACAAAAGGCCCAGCTAAAAGACCCTCAAGGTTTTCGGCTGAGTCCGACTGGCGAATTAGAGGAGCTTCGCAAATACGCAGCAGACGTTTTCGGAACGTACCCGCGACTGCAGGACAATTTTAATGAGCTGCCCCAGCTCGCCCCGGCAACGCTAGCAAAGCACATTGCCTCCATCAAGCCAGGCAAGGCAGTGCCTAAAGGCGCGGCACCAGCGGCAGCCTGGAAGATTTGTGCTCAGCCTGTTGCAGAGGCTCTTTCGTCGTACTGCAGCTCTTTACCACCCGAACAAACCTTGGAAGACGGCCTCCTAAGCGCAGACCTATGTCTTATCCCAAAACCAGGGAAACCGGCTGACAAGCCCGCCCAGCTCCGTCCACTAGGCATTCTCAGGCCTGACGCGAAGGGCCTAGCTGGCGCTGCTCGGGAATTGCTGGCCCCCCATGTCGTCCCCTTCATGAAGCCGCTGCCTCAGTTTGCTTATCTCCCGGGCCGAGGACTTTCGGATGCACAAAGCCGAGTTGTGCAGCACCTAAGGGAAGTAAGACAGATCGGTCGCTCGGCGAAGCCCAGCAGGGAAGACAGAAAGCGGGGACTTGGTCCACCAGCCCTGGTCGGGGGCATCACTTTCGCTCTCGACCTGTCTCAGGCCTTTGACACTGTTTCGCGCCAGGACATACTCGACCAACTGCAGGCCCTCTCAGTTGAGCCCAGCCTGATCTCGCTGGTGCATGGCCTCCACCACTCTTCCAAGTATCGCCTTCATGCGCAGGGAAGCTTTACTGAGGTCGAAACCACTACCGGCATCAAACAGGGATGCAAACTGGCGCCCACACTGTTTTCTGTGCTGACAGGACGCTTGCTTCACATGCTTATAGATACATTCGGGCTCGAGGCGGTACAACAACATCTGACCGGATATGCTGACGATATATCCGTACAGAAGACAATTCGCTCCCGCCGGGACTTGAAGGCTGCGCATGATCTGATCCAGGCCTTGTTGGAAGCCGTAGGTTGCCTTCGCCTGCGAGTGAATCCAATCAAATGCTCGATCATGGTGCGACTTACTGGTACTGAGGCGCCATCCGTCACTAGGCGACACATCTGCTGGTTGCCGGACGCCTCAGGTGAGCTCAAAAAGCATTGGAGGATAGGCCCCAACAAAGCCTACCCCGCCTTTCGTCTAGAAGGTAAGATCAAGTATCTGGGCATTATCATCTCCTATGCCAACTACGAAATGCTCACGTTGCGCCACCGACTAGCGGAAGCGGGCAAGAAAATACAGCAGGTCCGCAGATACATCTATAACAGACGCATTGCCAGCCCTGCCGCTCGCCTCCGCGTTGTGGTTTACTACCGTCTGGGCCACAGCTGTCACAGGACTGCCAGAAGTCGGACTTTCACCTGAATCAGCTCGGCATCTTCGAGGCTGGTATGCTCACAAAATTCGCTCAGTGCTTAGCCAGCCAGCTCATGTTACCCGTGCCACAACAGCTGGCCTCCTAAAGCTACACAAAGCTGCAGGACCCTGTGCAAAATAATCCGGCGCATGAAAGGCCGCGTAGCAAAACTGCGCAAGCGCTCTCGAACCGTTCCCACATCCTCATTGACCTCGACAACATTCTGCGGGAGGCCCAGGAGATCCCAGCCGCCACCCAGGCCACCCTGCAGCCAGCTCATCACTGCCGCATTTGCCGGGCCGCTTTTGACACCGAACACGGTCTTCGCATGCACACCTCTAAGATGCACAGAGACGCACTGTCCCGCTTCATCCCCCCTGTCTTCGACAGGGAACTTCATGCCAAAGAAGGCATGCCGGTGTGCGCTGCATGCAATAAGTCCTTCAAACAGTGGAAGGGTCTGCGAGACCATCTCCTGTCTGGGGCCTGCTCCGCACCGGACGCTCTGCGTACCATCACCTCCACGGGGACTCTGTCCAGCTCGAGCTCTGATCTTTTGCAGCTGCAGGAGCTCCGTCGGGAGGTACAGATGTGGAGGGGCCGCCGAGGCGCTCCGTGCTTGCGGAGCAAAGAAGTCGATCTTTCAAGGACCGAGTCCCCGCGGTAGCATGTGCAGACGGACCAGGTCCCCGGTGTTGCGATGGGGGGTGTGTCCGTAGCCAGCATAAGCATACCTGAAAAAGAACCACACATTGCTGTGGGTGCTTCTTCTTGTCGTGCACTTTGCGCCTGCAAAAAGGACAGGATTGACCTTTGATGGTTTGAGCTGAGTGACCTGCGCACAGCTTACCCGCAGCATCGCCGACTTCTTGCCAGACCTGCGGATGTGCCTGGCGTAGGCTGGCATCAAGCTCCTGCTACCTCCTCTTATGGACATCACCGACAACCTTATGCCCAACTGAGAATATGGCCACGTGCTGCCTGCATTCAAAGTGGGCCCCTTTTGGGGTCTTTGGTCAGCTACTGGACGGCCTTCCGTCAATGCAAGACTCTCGGCACTCCTCTCCCAGCATCGATCAACCGTCGGACTACAAGAGCATTTTCTTCGGGGCTTACTCGCAGGGTCCGCTGGTTGGTCTCCGCGCACAGACGAGGAGATACCCCATGGTCAGCCGACTGCTGAACGCCGTGATCTACACACTGTGTGGGGCGTACAGCCACTCCACGGTGTTTTTGGCTAGGAACCGCGCGATGGGACTGCACTCGGACCCTCACAACCACAAAGAGGTGCCGAACGTCTTGATCCCCCTCTCGGTCTTCGCTGGCGGCCAACTCTTCGTGGAGTCTGAGGAGGGCGACGTTTGCCTAGACATGCAGAACAACATTCGGGGACACATGCATCCCATCACCCTCCCCTTTTTGGCGTTTGATGCCCAATAGCGGCATTCCATTCTTCCATGGTCGGGCTGCCGCCTGATTTTGGGTTCTTTTCATATAAGCGGCGCAGAGAGGCTTCCGCTGGGCACCCGCAACATATTGCGGTCGTTGGGCTACCCTCTCCACAAGGATGGCCAGGTCAGCTTGGAGGAAGCGGCGTCGGACGTGTCCCCAGTTTGAATTCTGTTACCTGCCTCTGAGACTCGGGGGCTCTGCCCGCTTCTTGCAATGCAGCGGGGTCTTGGGGCATTTGCAGTTGCCGCTGCATATTGCGCACCAGCATAGTTGCCGAACGGTAAAATAGTGCTACCCAGCCCGCTGAGAGTTTTCCTCACGCAGGTGATACTTGCTAGGACTGTGCGCGCTGCTTGCACTGAGGCCTGGCAACGCTGGCGGCCACACCGCTGCCTTCAAGCAAGCACAGTGCCCCGCCAGCTTCGTTAGCAGACATGCGCAGGCAACTGACAGCTTCAAGTGCGCTTATTGCTGCATCCAGCCGAGTACCATAGCAGAGCTTGCCACGTCATGTCAGGCTCAAGCAAGCAACAATAAGCTACGCGCTGTAGTTTCATCTCTCGGCAGCGAACAATTAGTCGCATCGCTTGCTCTTTAGCTTAGGCAAGGCTGTCCAAGGAGCATATTTGAGGAACCGAGTACCCTTCGTGCATCTGCTAGCACTCTCGCCTGCGAATCTTTAAACCCAACGGGAGCTCTGCTCACCAACAAAGCGGAGGAGGCTTGGCCTACCTACGGGCCGCTGTCCAGCAATGTCGGCTGCTCAGCCAGCTGCGATGCCGTTCATTGTCCTAAGCGACAGCACGCTCCAGTACCTCCTGTGGATGGATGGTTCCGGGAAGTCATAGGGGGTCGAGACCGTGGACAGCAACCCCCTGCATCAAGCGATCATCCGCCCGGGGGCATCTCTCATTATGCCCCGCGACGGGCCGGCTCGTACGCCGCCGGTCCTTGAAGTACTGGCGGGGCACTTCATTCGGGTGCTGGGCCATGAGGAGCCGTTCCCCGCTGATCATGGCCCGCTGATCGCGCTCCTCAAAAAGTACTACTACTCTGATGTCTACGTCCGCCTGATACCTCTCCGACAGTCTTTGAATCCCAACAAGCAGGGAGCCTACGACTGGCT